CATTGCTCACCTTTTCGTACATTTCCCCATGGTGGCTAACATTTGGCACGATAACCTGCAACTCTTAGGGTGGTGTTGGGTGACCCTTGCCTCTGTCACCCAACTCTTTTAGTTTTCAGCCTTTCTTCTTGGGGTCCATCCTGTGGAAAGCAGTTACTGTTGCCACCCTCTAAGCCATTTGGAAAGAGCGCAACAACCGCATTTTCTAAGGGGCTTATGCTCCCATTCACAAAATTCTTGAACCCATTAGGACTTTGGTGAACTTTTGGGCTACTAACCATAGTAGGTTCAGACACTTCACTACTTTGGACTTCATTCTCAACTGGGATTCGATCCTCCATCACCAGCCTAGTAAAATCCCCTGTTCTGCCTTATGGCGACCACCCGATGCGGGTTGGATCAAACTCAATTTCGACGGTTCTTCTCTAGGCAGCCTGGGACTTACCGGAATTGGAGGTCTTTTCAGGGACCGTCATGAGATCAATGTCTTATCTTACCCCGCATCCACCTCCTTTTGGTTATTGGTTGTAAGGTTTCCAGGTTTTTTGGTCATCCATCTCAGTGATTTTGCCCATTGGGGAACTGTCACTTTCTGACCTTCAATACAATGTTAACGGTATCAAAAAAAAAAGAGAAGAGATTCTTGGGCCAGGCTTTCCCTCTCTAGGTTTGATACTATCACCCATTCTCTAAAGAGCAAGGGCATCCCTATTACTCTATATACCAGAGGTTTACGAGAGCCGGCTATACTGGACCCTGGAGCAAATGTCTCCACCTTGTACTTGCTTTATTTTAAGCCAAAAAAGATTGTCGTTTTAATTGTAGGCATTTGCTTACTAGTTTTTATCCGGGATATCGAGTCATCCAACGTGCACACACAAGCACCTTTTAAAGCGACACATATATGATTGGAAGCAATCAACTATTAACTTATTATCAACCACAATTTCTTTTTGTGAACATTGGGAGATCGTAACTTGTTTTGGTTAAAGCTCTGCCTGGCAGATGGTGGTGGAGGTATACTACCCAATAGAATCCCCTAATGCAGCTTGTCTTGTGCCACAAATGCCACTTTGATACTTCCTCGTGGCTCCAAAATGTTTCCCCAGTCATTCAGGGGCAGGATGCTGCTCTCTTCATTCCGTTCTCCGCGATTTCTGGTCCAACATTCGCTTCGGTGTTAGGGTGAGTACTAGTGTGAGTTTCGGGAATGACCTTTGGTTTAGCAACTCCTGCCTCGGGGAGCGTTTCCATGACCTCTAGCTACTGGCCAGGGACAGGGATGCCCTTGCATCTGGAAAATTTTGGAGGGGTAAGAGAGTGGAACCCCAATCTTAGGAGGCTGCTATTTGACCATGAGCTTCCGGTTTTCCAATCCTTTCTAGCCTCACTACAAGCCATCCACCTACCTACCAACAGTGTTGACACCATCATCTGGATGCCTAACCCCTCTGGACATTTCTTGGTCTCATCCTTCTATGCGTGGCTCATTCTCTCCACAACCACACTCCCATCCACTCTTCCCTTAGCCCACTGAGCGTGGCTCCCAGACATCCCTCCAGAATTCCAAAATTTCTGTTGGCTAGCCATCTTCCAGTGAATCTTTGATCAGCTGCAAATTAGATGTCTCCCGATACCTAATCGCTGCCCTCTTTGTAAATCAGCAGGGGAATATAATGAAGATTTGCTTATCCACTGTGAGTGGTCCTCCCTCCTCTGGGCTGATATTTTTAAACGTTTGGATGGGCATTGGGCTACCCCATCCTCCACTCTTCTGCTTTTTCAAAGCTTCTTCTCCACACCATGGCCTTCTGCTGGCCCTTTCCTGTGGTGTGCTATGGTGTCAGCTACCATTTGGGCTATTTGAAAAGAAAGAAATCGATGAATTTTTGAAGGCAAGGAAAACACGCCTATGTCGGTTATGAACTGCATCAAGGCAATGGTTCTTACTGATTTTTTGGGCCAAGGACTCCAAATAATTCAAACACTGCACTACCTTTGATCTCCAAAATTGGCTTGCTGCCCTGGAAAGTAGGCCAGCCCCAATCCCTCGGTCCTCTGTTTGGCAACCATCAGAGCAAGGAAGCATCATGCTCAAGTTTGATGGTTGCTCTCTTGGCAACCCGGGCCCAGCTGGCTTTGGTGAACTCTTCAAGGACCATAACGGCAATGTGCTAATGTCCTACTCGGGATTCATTGGACTCAAGGATTCCACTACAGTGGAGACAATTCTGCTTTTGGAAGGGATCAAATGTATCTGCCCGAATTTGTCTGATGCCCTGTTGAGAGCAACTACTCACTTGGGCTGCACGGACCTCTCCTTGTCCATGGCATCTACTACATGTATTTGATGAGCTTTTTGACCTTTGTAGGCGTACACATATCTCTTATCAACATACATGGTGGGAGGCCAATCACTTAACTGGTGCCCTGGCTAAAGCTGGAGCTAACTCAGGAGCCGCCGTCGATACTTCTCTCTGAGAGCTGTCTTGATTTTGTTGCATGTGTCACTGTTGGGACATTTGGCTGCAACACGTACTAATCCATTACCTACTCCACAGTCTACATCCAAGATATATACCCGGGTTCTATGGTCATTGAAACTCCTTTATTGCAGATTATGAGAAAGAAGAAAAAAGGAATCTCCTTCATTGCAATAAGGCGTCAAGAAGAAATGACTTCAATATGCCATGGTTCTTGAAAGTGGTCCTATTTATTTAAAAATGCTCTTGAAGTGGTCCTGCCCTCTGCATCCGTGGTTTAGATTTTTGCAATTAAAAGGATGTTCTAGAATCTCGTTTAAGAGTATCGATTTTGTTTTGGAGCATTCTATTCGCTTGGTACATGGGCATTAAATCAACGCTGGTAATATACTGGACGGCCAGACCCAATTGGTCCTAAATTCGGGCCTGATGCTATATGTGGCCTTCGGGGCTTAGACCTCGGCCTAGCTATTTGAGAATTATAATCAAGGATGAAGTTTCTATAAGGCCTAGGCTTTATAAAAACAAAAGAAAGTTTTGCCTCAAATCTCGCCTAAAAAACACTTTTCGCAATGGAAATTTTCATGATGGATCTAAATCAATTTTTAACATTGATTATAAAATTTGAAACTAAAAAAATAGTACATATTTTATGGATCTATAAACACTTATTTTTAGGGTGAAATAGATGGTCTAGATAATATATTATAATACACATTATTTTTAGAGTTTAAAAATTTAATTTGTTTTTTTTTTACAACCATAATGCTCAAGTCAAGATGATCAATGTAAAAATTCAATGCTTGAATTGTAAATTTTGATGAGTTATGACGTGAGGCTTTACTTATTCTAAAATGTTGCAGCCGTATCAAACCATTTGCCTATAATCAAAGCTCTATAATGAGTGTGTTATTGATTAGATTCAAAGTTCAAATTTTTTTTTTCGAATATTATGATACACCTGAAGTTATCAAATTTGGCGTCTAATGATTAGGAGCAATTGCGACCCTTTCTAATAATAATTCATATTATACAAATCTTTTATTTAAAGAAAAAGTAAAAAGATATTTACTTTTAATAATAATTACTCTCGTCTATCAGATTTCAAGATTTCTAAAATGTCATTAACTAGATTCAAGGTTCAAATTTTTTTTTTTAAAATTTCGTAATACATCTCAAACCATCTAATGGCTAAGAGTATCTGTGATTTCTTTGCAACAAAGATAAATGATCTTAGTATACAAGCCCTTATTCAAATGGGGCAACAAAGATAAATGGTCTTGGTATACAAAGCCTTATTCACATGGGTTGAAAAATATAAATTCAACGCATGTGCTCAAATATACAAATTAATTAGTGTGAACCCCAAGGATTTGCATGCATTGAATCCTGACTTGTTTGTATTTCCCACCTAACCGACTCCTTAATTTTCAATTTGTTCCATCGTTAGATAATACTTTTTATTTGTCAAAAAAATAAATAAATAATATAATAACTTTTTTTGTTTCGGCCATCAACAAATATATGGTAGAGTGAATTGTAAGTATGATGCGTAAGTGAAGGATTTTGGGATCCCAACCATATTATAAATGATAGGGAAAATTACAAAAAAAAAAAAAAAGCCCTGAAAACCACACTCTCTATTCAATTTACTCGAACCTAATTTTTTTTATCACTTTTTTTTCCAAAACATTTTTTCTATGCAAATAACCCCAAGGGAAAAAAGTTTATTTTTAGACAGAAATGTCCTTCCCATATATAAAAATCATTTTGAATAGATTAGACGTAAATTTTTGGACCCGAGTAGCACATTGCGGGAAGACATAAGTGTTGGACCGCTCTTTACAACAGTCGGGCCACCCTTTTTAATTCTTGAACGGTATTTTACACAATGTCGATGCCCTATTGCCGGACTGCATTTTACAAGTGCTGGAGCCTTAATGTCGAATCGAACTTTGCAAAGTATCGGGACAGCAGGAACACGGTGCCGGAGCCCTGGCGGGATAGATCGAACTTTGCAAAGTGTCCAGACCGTAGGTACACGGTGTCAGAGCCCTGGTGGGATAGGGGAGAGAGAGGTGTAGGTAAGATATAGTGCTCCGAAGAGGTGGGATAGGGGAGAGAGAGGCGTAGGTAAGATATAGTGCTCCGGAGAGGTGCAGGTAAGATATAGTGCTCCGGACCGCAGTTACATGGTACTGGAGCCTCCTATTTTGGTGGGATAGAAGTGGAGCCTCCTATTTTGGTGGGATAGAAGAGAGAGACGTCCGTAAGATAAAAAGTTGGTGGGATAGAAGAGAGAGAGGGGTGCGTAAGGTAAAAAGTAAGAGAGGTAGTTTAGGTATATTTTTATTTTATATTTTGAGAAAAAAAGTGAGAAAAAAAATGAAATTGAGGATAAATTGCATAGTAAGTGAGTAAGTGTAGTTTTTGGTTTTTTTTTTTTTTTTAAATTTTCCCTTAATAATAAAAAGTAAATGTATATAGGTTGACTTATAAGCATCAAAATAAAGAATATAGAAAAAGAGCACGCTTCCATTCCTAATTAGGTGACATCAATTCTGAGGGGTTTGAATTATTTATTTACATTTATGGTTATTGATGTGGACGGCAAGGATTACTCTAAGTAAGATGCAGATGCCGTTGCAGATAGAGATGCTGCTGCTGCTAACTTCCCTTCCTGGAATTTAGGAAGGTCTTGCCTTTGATGCCAACGGTCCTGATTAACTGTCTATACTGGTTAAAACTCATCTCCTCGTACAATGCTTTCCCTCCTCCTGCTGCGACCACCTCCTGAACCGGCCCAATCTTCATCTCTCCATCCGGGTTACAGAATACGACCAGAGACATCCTCTCCCTCTCCTTGTTCACTGTTGTCCTGTGCTCCGCGCTAGTGTATATCCCATTTGATATCACCTGATGATTTTCAGGTACATCCATCCATCCATCACAAACATGAAAATGAGCTCACAATATACAATATGCAGAGGTAGGCGCCATTCACACTTACCTCTAGCTGATCAGCCAAGATGATGACAAGGGCTTTTGGAATGGGAGGAACTGAAACCCAAACATCGTCCTTCTTCACCTGCAACCCGCATACATCGTCATCCTGAAAGATCACTGTGAAGCATCCGGGGTCGGTATGGGGGGACAGCCCGAGGGTGAGCTCTGGTTGTGGACACTCTGGATAATAATTCATCCTGTAACAGAGCCCAATCTGCTCCTCTCCCCCAAACGTTTCGACTAGGCGCGATTTGGGAAGTCCCAAGTCCTCAGAGAACATGGATAGCAGCTCCTTGCACAACTCAAACACCCCGCTGCAGTATTCTTCGATGGTCCTCCTACACAACCATGAAATCCACAATGAATTCATCACATTATGTTGCAGTCTTTGTTTGTTAATTAGTAGTTGGGGTTAGATTAAAAGGTGGGGTTGTATATGACCTGTAGTGCGGGGGGTTGGCAGGCCATTTATGTTGTTTCCTGTGAGAGAGAGGACGGAGGTGGTGGAAGAAGTAGTCACCCCAATCCAAAATAATGCCCTTCTTCACGCCCATCCTGCTGCCATAACCTTCATAGGTGAGGGGATCGTTGGCGTAGAGCTGCTTCTCGGACATGGGGAGGTCAAAGAATCCTCTAGAGGCATGCATGGCGGAGGAGAGAAATATGTGGGGGATGCCATGGTTTATGAGCTGGAACGCACCCCATTCCCTGCATGCACAGTGCATCACCTCCATGCTGTTGCCTGCTGATAAGTCCACAACTGGGACACCTGCAGGAGAGGGAGAGGGAGAGGGAGAGGGAGAGGAGGGTGGTCTCTCTTGGGGAGGCCTTATGTACCTTTGTGGCAAATGAGTAATCCCACTCTCCGCAAGCTTCTGTACTCTCTCCACAGGCTCGGGCCATGCCAAGTTTAGTCCCATGCTGTTGTTGCAAAGTACCACCATTCTCGCTATGAAAACAAAAACATACTCTCTGTCTCTGTCTCTGTAGTGAGTAAATGAAAATACAGGGACAGGGAGACGTTCCTCCTTTGCTCTTTAAATAGAAGATGCATCTTTGTGATTTACATAATTCAGATGCCCATGCCCATGCCCAACTACATATTCCAATGGAGAGAGATTTACATAATTCAGATGCCCTACCCCTACTACATATTCCAATGGAGAGAAAGAGAGAGAGAATAGGGCATATTTAGCACATGGCGGATATTAAGGAACGAGGGACCGCCCCAAAGTGCTGCTGCTTTTGCGGCACAAGTAGGGGACCGTCCAACTGCCCACATGACATGACATGCCACGCCATATCATATCATGGCTCCTATTATTATTATTATTATTATTATAATTCGGGAAAATTACACTTATATTCGTTATTTTAAGCATTATAATAATTTCACTTAAAATTTCTACTTACCCCAATTTGTTTTTCCCAAAATTGCCCTATTTTAAGATCCGAAAATAAATAAAATTTTTTGGAACTTCAAGGTCCAAAATTGCTCATATTAAAACTTTTTATCTTTTGAATTTGAATTATAAAAATAAAAATAAAAATTGGACCTTCAAAATATAAAATTTTCCTATTCCGGATGATAAGGATTCGGAATATAAAAGATCATAGACCTTTGATTGTGGATTTTTATTTTTGTATACAACGAGACCATTTACCTCAGGAAAGTCACAATTACTTATAACTTTCTTACATGAAATCTGATAGCTTGGGTGTGTCACAAAGTTTGAGAAAATTTCTTTTGAACTTTGAGTTTGGTCAATGAAATAAATGTAACCACTCAATTTCATATCCAATGGTCAAGATTAGTTGTCTCATCATATACTTTCCCTCTTTTAAAAAGAGCAAACATTTGGAAAAGTTCGTGTTGACTTTTTCTTTAATTATTGGCTGAAAATACAAAATATTTGTGAAGTGATTTTACACATCTTATTGGTTGAGTTTCATTTGTTGATTTTTTATTTTAGTAAATAAAAAATTAGGTATCTGAAATTGTAGATTTTTTATTTTATAATATTTGAATTTTGAAAATTAAAAGTTTTTGGATTTTGAAAATTCGAAAAGTTCAATCATAGTTAGTTCATGCAAAAATAAATTTTGGACCTTGAAAATCCAAAAAAAGTAATATAGTCATTTTAAAAAAATTGACAAGATGCTGAAATAATAGATATATAAAATGGGCAGAGTAGCAATAATGGAAAATTTTAGATAAATTTGTAATAACGTTTAAAATAATGGATATATGTATAATTTTCCTTAATTATTATTCCTAATTGTTATTCTTAATTCACTCGCTATTGTTGAGGTTATGTTTCCTCTCATTGAAACCCGTTTCCCCTAATTGAGTTTATAATATTATCAAATATGGGAGACGAGTTTGTGATATCTTTTTTCAGAAAAGTATATAAAGAGACGATTTACTTTTCATGTAAGGTGGTTGTAATTATTCTTGTCTGTCAAATTTCAAATCGAATAATTGTAAGAGTATCATTGATTAGATTCAAAATTCAAAAAACGTTTTTCAAAATTCAAAAAATATTTTTCAAATTTCGTAAAACATTTCAAGTCATTCAATTTGACATCTAATGACTAGGAGTAATTATGATATCTTTGTAACAAAGATAAATGATCGCATAATATATAGAGTTATTTATGTATAGACTTAAAATAAGTTGGAAAGATATGAGTTGCTCCCTTTATAACAAAAAATTACAATCAATGTTAGTCAACACAACTTTCTTTTTGATAAAATTACCCATCAATCCAAGGATGCCATCCCCGAACTTTTTTTTTTTTTTTTTTCAAAATTTAAGTTGCAGTCCGTAGAAGATCGAAACTTAAGTTTCGACAAAAAAGGCGTCCGATAATGCCATCTTCGGACCACAACTTAAGTTTAAAAAAAAAACAGTCCGAGAATTTCAACCTCAAACCGTAACATAAGTTTTGACAAAAAAAAAAAATCGCGTTGAACGACATTGGTTGTAATTTTTGAGTGGTTTGTATAGAGCCTAAGCTCTAAATAATCAAATTAGAGCCTACCTTCAAATAATGTTGAGAAATATGGTTTTAACACTAAACATCTTTGTGAAAGCCATAAAATATATTTTCATCTTTATATATAAAATTTAAAACGTAAAAAATGATGTAGATCTATAAAAACTTGAAAATCTTGAAAACAAACATCTTCTAATGAATGTTTAAGGCGCGCCTTGGTTTGATTGTTTAAGGCTTTTCATTATAATACATGGGAGGTATAAAAATAGGGAGTTTGTATGATGGAAAATTCTGCGCCAGAAAGAAAGATGAGTGAGTATGATAGTGAGTGGTGGTGAGTTCGCTTGTGTGGAATCCACCGCAAGGTGGCCGGCCAAGCACGACCACATTGCATGGGACACACCCTGCCGCCCACCACCACTCCCGTCACCACCATGCGAGTGTGACGTCGCGAAACCCCATTTACAAACTTTTCCCTTTTTTCCATAATTACCCTTTCTTAAACCTCTTTTCCAAAAAGCGGCCCGTTTCCTCGTGGTGCCGGACCCAGTTAAAAAGTCTATAAGAAAGAGACGAAACATAGTGTACTCCATAAGGAGCATGATGCAAGCAGGCAACCATTCAACTCCCTCCCTCCCTCCCTTTGAGCATTACGTGTAATATACATAGACCCGATTGTAGTCCACTCAGGGAATCAGTTAAGTCTAAGCCAGGATATACCCATATTTGTTAGAAAAATAATAAAAAAATAATTTAATTTTGGTATAGGAAAGTCACAAACACCGTTGGTTCTTAAATGTAAAATCGAGTCGTGGGATTATTAAATGTAACATCATTGACAATGCTCAAAGTTCAAAAGAAAATTTCTCAAGCATTATGATATACTCCAAACTATTAGATTTCATTCCAATAATTAATGGTGACATAGGTGATGCAAATAAAAATTTGGTTCTTACAAATTTTATTTTTAAAGGTTAGGTAGACTTTTTATTTTTATTTAGTAGGATTAATTATAAAAAATAGGATTTTACATTCACCAAAGGGCACTCTCTCTACAATATCAAAGATCAACTTTTTTTCATTCATTAAATTCAATATCTCAATTACGTGCTCTTTTTGTAGGAGGTTTACATTCACCACCTATCTACTAAAATAAGATAACTAACAAAATACTATTGACTCAATTCCTACCCACGTTTTGCATGTTATATTACAAAAATACATAATAAACCTTCCTAATCTAACTTTTATCTTTTATTAACAACCTAATCTATTCCTATGAGCTAAGTAAATAATCTCCTTATAAAAAGGAAACTATCAATTAATACCTTATCATTTATAACTAAAATACTCATCCTACCAATTAACAAATTACACATTTTGTTACTACGTTGTGGTTTTCATTCCCACCACTAACTCACCCCCACTAACACCATCAAAAGGCTAACTGCTAATCTACTTGAAAAAAGGTAGGAACTTGTCTTTCCCACTAAATTATCTAAAAAAAAAAAACAAATTATACCTTTTATCTCTTATTCTCATGCACTATCACATACCCACCTAAATCTTAAGAAGCTAACTCTAAATAACACGTGCCATCCCCACAAGATAAACCCTATGCTTTCCTAACAAAAACCCAAAAATAATAACCAATCAAAATATTAATTCTTTACATCCAACTCAAGAAAATATCCATCCCTTCAAAATAGGAAACAAAATATACATCCTAATACTAAAGATAATTTTCTTTCTACAAGCCAACTCCGATCCAAAAGAAAAACCCACGGACTTCTTATTTCTTAACAAGATATAAAAAAAACTACGGACTCTTTTATCTCTTGATAAAAAGAGACTTTATCAACAAAACCTTAAAAATCTTATTTTTAATAATTAACCATAATGAATAAAAATAAAAAGTCTACCCAACCTCTAAAAATAAAATTAATAAAAATAAAATTTTTAGGAACCAAATTTTAATCGCATCAATAGGTAAGTAAAGCCTCACCTCATAACTCATCGAAAATTGCAACTCAAGAATTTAAAAACCTTTACATCGATCAACTCGGCATGAATATTATGATTGTGAAAAAAAATAGGATTTCAAGCTCTAAAAATAATGTATATTGTAATAAGTTATCTAGAACATTCATTTCGTTCTAAAAGTAAGTGTTCATAGATCCACAAGATCTGTATGTATCATTTTTTTCGTTTCGAATTTCATTGTTAGTGTTGAAAATTGATTTTAGAACCATCATGGAAATTTCCGTTGCTCAAATTGCTTTTTAGATGAGGATTTCAAGTGAGGCTTTATTTGTTTTCATAAAACTTAGGCCTTATAGAAACCTCATCCATTAAAAATTATGTTCCCAAGAATATTTCCAATCACCTTTTAATTATAAATAGAGAAATGATCTTATAGGACCCTCCTCCACCTGTTTAGAACTTCAAAGGATCACCATTAAATTTGGGCCGGATCTATAGAAAAGTCAAATCTCACACCCATGTGATAACTTTTCTAAAGATCCATGCCAACTTTAGTGATGATCATTTGAGGTTCTACACGCATCGGTGGGAGAGGGTCCTATATGATCATTACTCTTATAAATAAGTCAAAACAACATTATTTTAGTAAAGTGAATATCAACCAATAAATGTAAATAGAAGAGCATCTCCCCCATTACCTTGAGCGCACGTTTAGATGGGACCATAGATCAACACTCACTGTGGAACTGCAAAGGTCGTTGTTGAAGTAGTAGTAATAATAATATGGGAAATGACCTTGTGAGACCCTCCCACACTCATGTGTGTAGAACCTCAAAGGATCACCATTAAATTTGACACAGATCTCTAGAAAAGTCAGTCCCACATCCATGTGATAACTTTTCTAAAAATCTGTGCCAAATTTAATAGTGATCCTTTAGAGTCCTACACACCTGTGCCAATTTTAATAGTGATCCTGTAGTAGTGATAGTGGTGTTGCTGGTACGGTGTACGGTGTGAGAGTGGTGGTGACGGCCATGCCGCGGCAGTGGTTCTTGTATGGTGATAGTCATCGTGGCGCATAGGTGGTGGTGGTGGCAATGGCAGCAAGACATGGTGGTGGTACAATGATGGGGATTGAGGCCGTTAATTAGTGGTGGC